TCCTATATGTCAAAAGATCAACAGATTGGATTGGCAGGATATTAAACAAACACAATATCCGAATTATCTTTAAATCATCCAAAAAGATAGGACAAATCTTAAAAAATTATAAAGATCAAAGATCTCCATTCAGCTTCGCAGGAATATACAATATACCTTGTTCCTGCGGGCAAGTATAAATTGGAGAAACCGGGAGAATAGTCAACTTACGAATAAAAAAACATCAATGTGATGTTTTTAATAGGCTAAACGCTACGCAGTCAACACTATCAGAACACAACATCAAAACAAAACATCAAATACTGTTTGACAAAACGATCACAATAGCCAACATACTTTTAGAGAATATATAGAGAAGCCATAGAGATACAAAAACACCCTAACAATCTAAATAAAGATAATGGCTACAACATAAATAAAATATGAAAAACCATACTCCCGGTTATTGAAGACTGACCATTTTCCTCCACCTCTCCCTGCCCACTCACCTACAATTCTCTTCTTTCCTCCCACCATTCCAACCAGTAGCGTAATATAAAAGGAATGGCCCCAAAGGAACAGCTCAATATCAGGCTGCTTCTCGTCCTGATGAAATGGACTACAAGGAGAATGGACTACTTCACGAAATGTAGGCATTCTAAGAATGGATCTGGACACAAAGGAAACCCGCAAAACGCATAATCTTAATATTATTTTATGTTATAATAAGTAGAAATATTGCCTAGTGTTACAGTAATATTGGAAAAGTATTACAGAAATACTTCTGCAATTAATTTGCCATGGACATTTAAATTTGTAGCGATATTTATACAATGTTACTGATATATATATTATAATATTATGCAATATTATAGCAAATTTGTAATTTTACTGCAAGATTACTACATATTACATGCTGTGTGGGTATACAGAGTGTCTCAGACCACCCGTATATCCCTTTTATTTCGGAAACAGAGCATTTTAGAAAAAAAAACATTTCAGACAAAAATTGTGGGGTTCTAAATGATCTATTTAGTGATCTGATCAGTCTGATTTTGGGCGGCGTCACCAGGGTCAGAGCAATTGTCACTTTGAATTTTTTTAATGGAACCCCCTATTTTTCATCGCATATTCTTATAGCATACCTCAAGAGTTTTCCAAAACACTGTAATAAAATAATTTTTCATGAAGTACTTTTCGAGTTGTAATATAAGGCTTGAAAGTTACAGTACCGCCGGTATTAGCATTACGCAAGGTTCGACTGAACTAAAATCTCTTGAATGTCAATCAGGATCATGTCCTGAATAACATTTGTTAAGCTCAAGGTCACTGGAGATTGTTTCTCTTATTTTCATTTTTATATAAAAATGATTTTTAATGCAAAAATAAAAATATTATATTGTATATATTAAATCGCATTCTACGATAAAAATATCTTTTTATTGTTATTACTTCCTTTACATGTCTTTATGGTTTGATTAGTTATAACACGATGTCTTTATAGGCACGTCTACCTACAACTGTGCCTTATATCTCACAAATTAAACGAAGTATTCAAAACACCAATGTTCAAATGTCATGGATCTTTTTAAAAATTGCAACTGTCGGTATGACAGTTGCAATTTTTAAAAAGATACGTATGACATACTTAAAGATAATAATTGGAAAATAATATGGACACTTGAATATATTCGAGAGGTCATCAAAATATTGATAGATCTAGTAATTCTAAACATAATTTTTTGAGATTGCATAAAAACTATGGTAAAAATCAGTATGCAGGCGATAGTACAAAACTTACAAGGCGTGATCGTTTATGAATTTTTAATGAAATACAAATCGGGAATAAAACTACTGGTGAAGTAAGAAGAGTTTTGGAACTGCCATAACTACACGAGTAGTATATTTGTGCAGCAAATACTACTACAAGATAAAAGTTTAAAAAGGGACAAAAAAGTCATTCCCCACACAGCACACTTTATCCTAGGAATGTCAATGACATTTTGGAATATCGCAATAATCTTGTGATATCCGTGAATGGTCTCAATTATCCAACGAATATCCAGAGGATATACTATATGTATAGATAGTGTATCCGCATGTGTGAAATTCTACGAATATGGTTATCTAAAATAAAAGGGAAATGTTTTTAATATATTATATTATGGAAGCGAGAAATATATTAACTCATTATTATATAATAGAAACAAAAAGTGGAACAAATGTATGGGAGTTTTATTAATTTTATTCTGTATAATATCTTATTTCTCACATTGTGACTACGTATGTAGTCAAACTATTTACTATAAGATATAGTAAAATTAGATATTAATAATTAGAATTATAAGCACTAGCAAGAATTTTGCAATATTAAAATTACACATGTTGAACACAACGTTGTTACACATGTTTTCTTCCAAATGATGCAACCTTTTGGATGCAAAATGTCCAATTTTATTAAAATTTTATTATTTCATATTGTTTAAAAATAATTTCAGATAAACGAGACAGTAGCAATTCTTCATAAATTGTCCAATTATAATCTTGATAAGAAGTTACGTAAACTGGTAAATAATTACAACAAGATTGTATGTAGAATTTTCATTATTCTGTACGTAATTTTACGAACTGGAAGTTCGAATATTTACATAATTTTCATCGAAAAATATAAAAAATTGGGACATTATAAAAGAATTGTGTTATTCATTTATGTACATTAGGATATTTATACACATATATTAACTATAGGTAGAGTAGGCTAGAAAAAGTTTTATTAATCGTTTTTTATTTTATAGATAAAACCGAATACTTGAAGTTTATTGGTTATACTATAAATGTCTTACAAAATAAATACTATGCATTTAGCATAAATAGAAAATACTTTATAAAACATTTTCAATTGACATTATATATACAAGTAATCTAAAATATATATAATAGAATATACTCTTAAATCCATAATGCTGAATTATATCGAATTTGAGTTATTTTCATTTCTATATTATAAATCGCCACTGATTTTTCTCGATATACCGTTAACTCGACTGAAATAATAGAGTTAATTCAAGAGAATATACTAAATTTGTCTAAAATTTAATTATTAATAAATACGAACGCTATTTGTTCTTAAATTGAAAAATGGATTTGAAGTATTCTAAATATCTCATATAATGAGTTCCACTTACGATTTTTCAGTCATCAAATCTAAGGTATATAATTAAGCAATTCAATATATTGTATTTATCTATTAATATGATCTCGTATTTTTACTTATATTAATACGATCTCTATCACTACATGAAGCATTTATTGCCAAATATTTACATAATTTTCATCGAAAAATATAAAAAATTGGAACATTATAAAAGAATTGTGTTATTCATTTATGTACATTAGGATATTTATACACATATATTAACTATAGGTAGGCTAGAAAAAGTTTTATTAATCATTTTTTATTTTATAGATAAAAGCGAATACTTGAAGTTTATTTATCCTATAAATGTCTTACAAAATTTTACTTATCAAATAATAAATAAGGTTTAAAGATTCATCTCAAAAATTTGAAGACATCCAAATTCTAAATCTTTGTTTTACGATTACAAGCATGATCCAATAATAATGCATTTTCCACTATATAGTTTTCAACCTAAGAGCAACAAATTCAGAGTGGAATCAATAGATAGTATTTATTAGTTTAGCAAAAATGCCGTTATCTTATATTACGCGCTATCTTATATTAGGCACTTATCTCATAGGGGGCTGTCCTCCAATATTTATAATTTTAAATGTTAAACTCAGATTTGTACCTATACAAAACTCTTCCTATTCCAGCCCAAATATATAATTTTTTGTATGATTTCAATTATGTACAGAATATTGGCGTTTATACTTTCCATTTGATGACACAAAGTACTGATGACAGCAGAAGTACTGATATCTTCGTTATTCATGCTAATAACGTTTTCTCTTGGATACTGAGTATAACCTTGCACTACACCAGTCGTGTGTAAGTGCATCAGTGCTGCACTACAAAAGTGTACATATACCATGGTGTACACTACTTCATGCTATCGTGTTTAATTCTGCTGCCGGTTGACTTCCATTTTCAAATTCGTAATGTCACACTAATTCTACACCGTCTCTTTGAAATCGTGTAGCAAAATCCCACTAGTGCATAAAATTTGCACTACATTATAGCAACAGAAACACGTTACACTGAATGAGTTCGCTTACCACCAGCCAAGAAAACACGCTACACTGTCTGAGTATTGCACTGATGGGCGATAGTGCAGCCAAGAGAAAGCGCTATTAGAAAGATCATATAACGATTGTGTTAACTTATGTCAACTAGATTAATTAAATAGAAAGTATTAATTATAAATATCTCAACAAGCGATGCATTTAATTAAAAAACTAACTGTGCTGAAGTATGATTTTTGATGGCTTCTATTTTTATTATACTTGCAAGTATATATTTATTTTGTGAGTAATTTCTTTGTATATATTTTAGTATTTCGTTTCAACTTTATTAAAGTATTAAAGAAGTATTAAAAATATTAAAAGAAAAAATTTAGATTGAAAACAATTATTTAATAAATATTAAATAGCTTATAATACTCATTAAAACAATAAAAGTATAATATATTAAGTAAATTCAATCTTAACTTTTATTAAATTAATTTTATTCCTTTAACTTTTAACTTAATTTTATTCATTTTATAAGCCAGTTTTAAAAAAACATTAACTTATTCAACCTTGTGTATAATAATTTTTATCAAAATGTTAAAAACAATAAATGCTGAAGATATAACAATATATCATCATTTTAAATGTGTTAATTATATAGACAACTTATTTCTGATAAGAATTTATGTAGAGTAGAATTCGTTAGCTTTACATCAAAGTAAATATATTACTTATTACATAAGAAAAACACAATATTGTTATTTTTCTTATAATTACAAATAATATTACCATTAATTATACTTATTTATATTACAATTAATTTATAGAACGTTTTAATCTATTTACTTGTTATAAATAGAAAATATAATCAATATTCAGTGTTACAAAATGACTGAAGCTTCAAAGTATTGAAAAAATTAAATGATATTCCTTAACAAATTTTGATACAACGGAAAAAAAAGATAATTGTTCTTTTCATGTAATACAGGCTTCCACTGTCTTTTTGACAGCATCACGAGCGTATGGTATATATGATAAGGAATACCATGTCATAGCTAATGACTGAATGATTATAAATAAAAGAGCTAGACCAGGATTGTGTAACTGAAAACAAAAGTGTAATAAATACTTCAAAGTATTAAGAATATATAAAAAACAATATTGCATACTTACATGTAAAGCTGCAAAAAGTGTCAAAATAATCGAGACAAATACTAATATAGTTGCAATTATTCTTGTCGATGCAAACATCTTCTTAAATTGATGAAATGGACCCATCAAGAAACACGTACTGAAAAAACACACAGATTGATAATTATTCAAATATTTTGCAAGTGTATTTATACAACTACTAAACATTATATAAACTACTATAAATATTAAATTTATTATATAAATATTAAAATTATATGATAAAAGTCAGTTGCAATTCTGTACCTAAAATATTAATACTATTGTTGTACGGATTAGGACAAAGCATTATTGTTAAAACTATTACATATAAAAATACGCATTGTAACGCAACATATTTCAATGAGAAATTATTTAATTCGGAGAAAGAAAAAAATGTTAATGTGTAACTTTTAATGTATATATCAATGTAATTTTAGTGATAATTTTCATGTTTATATTTTAAATTTGTGTTTATCCTGCACTACCATCATTCGCATTAATTCAATAATTGTCATAAATTTTTATTTTCTTATTGCAGACACAACTATGAATGAAAGTCAGCGTATTGTAATCCCTCGTGTATTTATGATGGAAAATTTCGTTTATTTTCATGTATAAATTCCCTAGTGTAGAAGAGTATTTTTAATGTAGAATATATTTTCTAGAAATATTGTTCTAAATAAATTTTCTTCTGATAAATAAAAAAATAAGACTACTGACAAGTATATCATTTATTTTACCTGGCTAAAGAGATAATGTTGCCCAAAGTATAAAATACAGCAAATACAGCAAGACCTTTCTGTAAAAACAATGCAAAGGATCCAAGGAATGAACATAATATGCCAACGATGAAACAAATTGCAAAACCTTTTATCCTGGTAGACCAACTTAATGTTGTTTGATCCATAACCTGTTAATCATGAAAAATGTCAATAATTTTTTTCCAAATAAAGTTACATAACGTATTGTACGTAATGTAAAAATATACGTAACAGTAATGGTACTGTAAGTAAAATAAATCTCTATAAATCTTTAACAATTTACCATAAAATCAGCATCAACCTTCCATTGTCGATCGCATGTGAGCATTTATAAAGTGATAATATAAGTTTCCAAATGAAATGTGATTATAATACATATAACCAATTATTAATATATTCCAATCAGTAATGCAGCTTATTGCATTAAATAACGTATTGCATTAATTAATGTATTGCATTATTGTACGTAATTACCTGCGTAATTATACCACTTTCTTCATCGCACCGTTCATTACCGTTCAAAGCTCTCCTTAACTTGTCCATTTTTTAATCAAAAACAAAAATAAATACACTTTTCAGACGAACTAAATGTTGAATTCATTAACCTATCAAATATGTGATGTTATCAAGCTGAATGAAAAACTGTATCACCACTGCATTACACACTAATGTTTCATATCATGCATATATTCCTAAATGCTTAATTTATCGGAAAATATGTAAACATTAAATTAACTTTCACATAAAAAAATACTGTGCTACTATATTTATTTACACGCCTTTCCACGTCTTTCGTGTAGCCTTCAATTTATAAATGTATTTAGAGTTGGAGGTTATTCTTAATAGCTGCTCTACGTTGCACTTTCTATACTCAAAGAGTGAAAAAGACATACACAAAATGAGATTCACAAAATGTCCTATCCGAGGAAAGTTTTACTCAATACAATATACGTTATGCTCATTCAATGCGTTCGTTTAAAAAAGTAAGAACTGTCATAATGGAAGAAAATGGGAGTTATTGTAGGAGCATGCTGTATCATGTTGGAGCATGTTGGAGTACACGAATGAAATCTACTTAATTCTTACAACTGTGCCATTAATAACTATGCTTATATTGTAAAAAATGAAATGTTAATGATAACTTAATGGAGCGATATATCTTCCGAGATATTAAAAAAGTATTAAAATTTTTATTAATATTTTGTGTAATTTCGACATTTATGCATGTCTCAGAATTTTAAATAAAAATAAAAATTGTTTTCTCAGTATGTGCAATGAAGTTAAAGTAAGTGTACAACAGGACTTAAAATAGTATTTGAGCAATACAATTCAATGTTTATTTATACGATATTGTATCGTTTTATTTATTGAAAGATTTATATATTTATCTGGATATCGGTATATGCTTAACTGAAATCGGAATGATTAAGATATGCTATGTTTATTCAAGTATAATTGCCAAAAAGATGAAAATGGACATATTGGTCTGCATTTTTAAAAAATATAATTTTTAAATATTTGCAACACAATAACTTATGTCGTAAAGTAAATGTCTCAGTGACTGTACATGTAGCTATGTCCAGAGAAACGGAAATAAGATTTACAATTATAAACCACTAAAGAATTGAAAAATCTGTTTCAAAATAGAAATGTAGTAGAAGTAGAATCTATGTTCAAAACACTGAATTGCTGCAAGTATTGTATGTAAAAGATATACACGTACTGAGCAAAAAAGATTTTAATTATCTATATAATATTATAACAAAAATAATACAAAAGTAATACAAATAAGTATACTATTGCATGCAAATATACAGTATTGTAACAAAAATCAAATTAGAAAGAAAATCGAATTATAAAATATGTACAATCTGTATAAGTATTAATCCATTAAAAATTACAAAATATTATACAATGAAAAATACTTTACAGATGCAAGATATGAACATACACTTCTTCAAATCGATATGAAAAGAAAGCAATAAACGTTTCCACTGTAGAAAAACAAATGTTACGTATCAAACGAATGTTCTATATTTGCAAATGCACATAAATAAAATGAGCACAAAGTAATTAATAACATAAAAATTTAAATTTAAGAAAGTCAAAAGATATAATTAACATGATCACATGATTTAAATCACACGTTTTTAATCATGCTTTGCAATTTCAAAAAACCATTATTTAGATGAACAACCAATTTTAACTTCTTGCTGTTGTCCGTGAATGATCGAACTAAGAGGTTAGGAAAGGATATAGCTAAACGGGAAGAAACGAAGTACCGCCAATTGCCGCTACGTCGCGCAAGAGAAGGAAAGGGAACTCGTGTTTAAAATTCAATCGAGGGCCTATAAAAAGGCTGACAGCCGACAAATAGGTATCGCTTCTCGGCTCTCTGAGCTAAGATCAAAGTGTAGTATCTGTTCTTATCAGCTTAATATCTGATACAGTCCCCATAGGGGGCTCAGTATATTAATCTATTTTTTGGGACCAGGCGGGTGCTCGGAGCTTGCTCCGACCTTGCCACGGGTCGACCCTGCATTGCATTGCAGCAGGGTACGGCCCAGCAGTGTAAATTAAGTAAATTTTTATTGTATTTACCTGGTCTCAATAAATGGATGCGATAGTGGTGAAGTGCGCGAAATTGTGAAAAAGTGACTTTGTGGACATCCCGGACTTTGGCGCGATACTGAGCCCCCTGCGTCGTCGGCGGCCCGTCGAGGTAAGTTCCATGCGGTAGAGCAAATTTTCAGCTTTAATTTCGTATATAATAAGTATAAGTTTCAATTCTTTTATTTTCATTCTCTTTTCTTTCTTTTTTCTTCTACTTTTTTCTCTTTTCTCTTTTTATACTGTTTTATTTTCTTTTCTTTTCTTTTTCTGTTGTGGGGACCAGACTCTCCGCGTGTGCATGACGCGGATA